AACCGAGGCCTACGATACTTACAGGCCGGAGCGCTCGAAAAAGTCACGTGACGTTAGGAGTCATATGAAATACATTACGGCTTATGGAAAATCCGTGCGCGGCTCCACTATTTATTTTTTTACTCCGGATCCGTTCAACATAGAGCCACGAAATTTCAATGAGAGCTTGTCAATAGTACACACAATCAAATTATGGTGTTCGTTAATTTTTAATAACACTAAAAATAATTAATTTTTAGGTTTAAAGTATTGATGATAAAACGATGTTAGTAAATCCGCGTTTTTCTATCTTTACATCATCATATTTCTTTTTCTAGGAACTATATCGTTATAATCCTTTCGGTGTCTTAAACTAGAATGATATGCGCCTCCAATTATGCGTATATGATGCCTTATCTGATATTAGTATAGTTTTAACAGGCCCTACAAAATCGCGCATTTATTATCCGCGCAGAGAAAAATTCAACATGCGAGAAACTTTTTTGTTATTGCTATAATGAATGAATGAATTGTGACCAAAGGACACAAAAATGTTCTTCTGAAGGAATTTTTAAGAAATGGTCTCTTGTTTCCTTTTTTTCAGCAGCTGAAGTAAATAGCGCGATTTCAGAATAAGTGAACGCGCAAAGGAATTATTATGTTTCAAATAATTGTTAGTAATCGATTTCCAAATTGTGTTTGTGAGATTCAAGAGGAGTATTTTGCATCAAAGATTTTGTTTCGTCGTGTAATTTAGCAGAAGATGAGGCGATGTTAAATATAAGTATTGAAATATTCTAAGATTTAGAAAACGACACAACAGTTACTTCTGAAAACGAAAAAAAAAACGGCACTGCCTATTCCTTACAAGCTGTACTTTTTACTAAAACTGCTGTAAGTTGGATAGAAAATGCTATTTTTTAAAACTTCCTTATTCAAAAGGTTATTTTTATTTATTCATAGAATGAAGATGAAAGCCTACGATACTTACCAGGCCTCTTAGGCGGACAAGGCAAATTTCCCATTTCACTTTAACACGAGAAGGTATAACTAAAATACTTTATGTACTGCAAAATTCATATAAACGAAGATATAAGATATAATATATACGCATAATTGGAGGCGGATATCATTCTAGTTTAAGACACCGAAAGGATTATAATGATATAGTTCCTAGAAAAAGTAATATGATGATGTAAAGATAGAAAAACGCGGATTTACTAACATCGTTTTATATTCAATACTTTAAACCTAAAAATTAATTATTTTTTGTGTTATTAAAAATTAACGAACACCATAATTTGATTGTGTGTACTAATGACAAGCTCTCATTGAAATTTCGTGGCTCTATGTTGAACGGATCCGGAGTAAAAAAATAAATAGTGGAGCCGCGCACGGATTTTCCATAAGCCGTAATGTATTTCATATGACTCCTAACGTCACGTGACTTTTTCGAGCGCTCCGGCCTGTAAGTATCGTAGGCCAAATTTTTGACACTCAAAACCAAAAAATATCGGTACCCACGGAATACTTGGACCAAGCCCTTTCAAACGAGCCCCACATCGCCCACATCGGTTCAGTGGTGTAGAAGAAGTACGTGTGACGGACGGACGGACGACAAAGTGCAGCCAATTGCGATTTTTCACTTTGAGGAAAATACTCTAAAGAACGTAATCAAAGAACGGCACAGTACAGGGTGGAAATTTGATCTGGAATACTGAATATAACTTCAACATAAAATTTCTGTAAAGAAAGCATCCAAAATTATAAAAAGTTTGCTACCAATCTGCGTAATTGGGGGCCAGTGGCGTACTTCTGCATGGTTAAGGGGGGATTTTTTTTACTAGTTGTCATTACATATTATTACAGAGTACCTACACTTTTTTGGATGTAGGAGCATAAAAGCATTAAGAATATTTTGTGGTTCCCATACAGAAGCAGCGATCGCCGTGATTGTTGCGCGCGCTCCACCACCGGAAGATATATCAAAGGTATTGAGACTCGAAGGCAACGGTGAATTTAACCCATGGTTACACACTCGTACGTCAACAGAATTGTAGGTAAAGCGTCTCCGAACTTAGCTGGTCGTTACATTTGGATTAAATTAGAACTAACATTAAAACTAAAAATTGAAACCCTAAAAGAAAATAAAAGTAACCCTCTTCGTTGATATGATAAAATGTACATACTTCTTATGTAAGAGAGATGGAGCAACAATTATCGATGGAAAATTGTGGTATAGCAGATGACAGCCTGACAACCTAAAGAAATGCAAATGGTGGTACTTACACTTTTAGCAAAAAACACAAATTATATCATCCCTATTGAAGTTTGTAGGTGAATCCGTCCTAACAATATTTCCGGAATCCCCAAATTAATGAATCCAATTGCCAGAGATTAATAAAATATGGATGATGACAATTGAAATTCTACGCGTTCTCACTAACGCCTCAGCTGTTGGTTTTTAATGAAGTGGAACCTGATACGGCTCTCGGCAGAAAGAAAATAAAAATCTATACGCACTGCGCGGTAAAATTGATCAACTTTTGTGTAATTTGTTGGCGCGTTTTTGAAAAAAAGTAGCGCTCATATATTCACTTTGGCTGTTCGGTCAGTCGGTCTGTCGGTTGATTAGCTGAAAAGGTTTTTTAAGTATAACTCTCGAAGGAATCATCGTCATTGGTCTATTAACGTACGTTAAGGGGATAGGCTTTGTTGTCAACTGTGTATGATTGGTTGTTATAACTGGTAAATAAAATCGAATTTGTTATAACGCTTATTTTATATTTTCTGTGGCGATCGATTTCGGCGAAATTCGATCATCAGGCCTAGCTATGGTTATTGTTATGGTTTATGGTTGTTATAATTTTGATTTGCGAAAGGGTTTTGTCGTAAATAGGACGTTAACAAGAAAAGCGTCGCTTTTTGCCACAGTCAACGCACAACTACGTTTCCTTGAAAATTTAAATCAGCTTTTTAGCCACAATCAGAGAAAAGTTACGTTTCGATGAAGATTTGAAATCAGCTTTATGTTAAGTTTAGGGCCATAGTGCGGCCAAATTAAAACAGTTTTTTTGAGTTTTGAGTTTACGCAGTATTACGTTTCGTTGAAGAATTTATTTCGCTTTGGATTATTTGTGTTGAAGCTGTTTAGAGCCCCTTCTTACCAGGCGTTTTTTGAAGCGGCTGGTAGCGTGACCCCTTCACACGGTGCGATTTGCAGCGCCACAAGTAGCAAGCGATTTTCAGAAGCGCCTTCATGCAACAAAAGCGCACGTACCAAAAAGGGGCGTCGTTTTTTTAAAAAATGGTGTCTGGTTTGAGGAGAGTTGATTCACTTGTGTATCATTTACCTTAGTAAAGAGCGTACATATGTACTGATATTTTGTATTTAAAGCTAAGTTTGTTATGTTCAAGATTGTTATTACTGATATGTGGGGGGTTGTAGTTCGACCTTTGATCGAGCAATCCTTATATTATATAAACGTCTCGCCAGGAATGATTGCCTGTCACAGTACACTTGATCCCGGCCTACAATCTATGTTTTTCTAAAGATGCAAGCGTCAATGTTGAACAAAAAGACTTTTAGTTCAATATTGGCACGATCCTATTCCGGAAATCGCTCGCATCTTAAGAAAAACATAGATTGTAGATCGACATAAGGTGTGCTGTGACCGGCAATCTTTCCTGGCGAGAGTTATAGCATCCTTGGGTTTGACCCACTATATGTTAGAAGTCGAATTTCTCCTCTGTGCTGGGGAGAAGTTTTGTGCCGTGTTAATAAGTAAAGGTAAAGAGCTAGCTAGGTTTTTGTTTTGGTATTTTGTGTGCGGTCTTTCTGGCCGGATCAGTGCACACAGCAATACCTATGTTTGGCGAATATGCAGTGACGCTTTGCGTATCGCACCAACATGCACAACCATATTTTGCTATTGAACAATAATTTACAGAAATATTCACATTGAATAAAATTTAATTAATATTATACTTAAGATTAGGGACACAATTATTCAAAAAGTGTGTGTGTATAGTGGGTTGTGCTGATCCTTAATTCGACACAAACGATTGCGATTAAACCCGTCTTTTGTGTTTTATGTTTGTGCGTGAAATCAGTTGAAAATTTTGAATTGTACATTAATTGCTGTTTACGAATAAACTTATCTTTACCTACCTACTACTGCGCTCGACAGTTTGAGAACCCTTATTGCTGCGATGATCAACCTTGCAGTGTATTGAGCTTTCGTAACTACTGGACCAGTGACCTAGTACGGCATTACCTGTATAAATACTTTTATTTGTTACTCAGTTGTAAACGTTGATTAACAAGACAAAACGCAAACGAGTAAACGGCATGTTTAAACGCTACTGACTTGTAAAACTGACAGCAGACCTGTAAAAATTTTACAAGTTAGTAATCTAGTAATTTCATTGGCCAGAATTAATGCGACGTCTCTGTTACATGGATCACATGATATTGTAGACATTTCTTCAAGATCAATTTAAGAACTAATTATTTACGTTTACTATTGTTTACAAATGAGTAACAAATAAAATATTGTACATTATACGCCAGGTAATAGTTTTTACTGGCTCTAGGAGATGACAGGCTCGCCTAACAGCTCGCCAGTCTCGCCTTCTCCTATCGCCAGTAAAAACTCACTTACCTGGCTAATAATGTAAAATACTATAACAATGCCTAATGTCATATTCGCTCTACCTACAGTAAATGGATATTTTGTGCACCAAAATGTTCGAAAATGAGGTGGTTGAGTTGTACATGACGGACAACTTCCATTTTCCGCATTTGAATTTATCAACACGAAGCTCAAAATCGATGAATTAATTAAAATGCTAGTATTTGTGTCAGCCATCTTCAAAACATGTTCAATGTATATTAGCGTACTTATATCAAAACAGAGGGGACGTTTGATATACTTTAATTTGGTATAGCACAAAGAACAGAAAATCAATTCGTACCCGTAATTAATGGATTACATAATGCGATTTATAAAAGCACTTACAGCTGGAAGCGCAAAAAACGAGATGGCAAAAACGCTAAAACACGACGCGACTATTTTGCCCATCCACGTCTTTGGAACTGTATCACCATAACCTATTGTTGTCACTGTTATCACGCCCCACCATAAGGCATCGGCGTAACTCGAAAAGTCGCCCTTATTCTTTCCGTCCCCCGACGTTCCTTCTCCCGCATCCTTTTCCGCTAAATACACGAAGTAACTGCTAAAGATAAGGCCTAAGAAACCGATGTACAACGTTGTAATTAATTCCTGAAACAGAAAAACGAACATTAGTGATTACGACTATCAATAATAAAACTTACGTCACGTTAATTACATTAAGTTTAGAATTACATCCATCGATCAGCTTTGCCCTAGCCAACACACTTGAATTATATCAAATTCGGATGGATATAGTCGGCCATCACGCACAGAAACTTTCTAATTATAAGAAAATCAATTTTGCAACATTTAGTTTAGTGAAATTATATTTCTAATGAACAAGCAACTACGCTAACCGGGTGATTTTGCAACTGAAATTGTCGTCACATTAATTATTTACCGCATTGCGAACCCTTCTTGCAAAATTTAGCTAGTAGTCCGTTGTACATATATATTGTAATGTAAATTCTTTATTGCTAACCTTTGTAAAGCATTTACGCATAGACTGGCTATGGTGACATTTTTATCGCCTCTCACGAATATACGAATATTGATTGATTAATACAAACGGAATAAAATAGCCAAGTCAGTCGCTGTCGCTGGTCGCAGGCCTGGCCACCCACATAACAACCAATGCAATACATCACTGCGTCCGGATCGCCGCCGGCGCGACCAAGTCGCAAACTTCACCGTGACCTAAGTCCGGCCACCGCATGTTACTATTGTGGACAGATAATAATTGTTTCGTCTACCGACTGATTGCGTAATTTTGTGCAATCGCGTGAAATAAAAAAAAATGTATTGATTTTTTATTCGTCAACCTTTGGGAGTTTTGTCAATTAAGAAAAGTTGTCGTGCAGCTTTTTTTTCTCTCTAAATTTTTGACCTTGTTGTTCAACCAAACAAATCACTAAACGGTATATGACACCCTACTTACTTATATATCGTCCTTGTGACGTTTTTGATAGTAGAAAGCATGAGTGTTATTATACAGGGTGAAACGAGGGCCCCAGAATGATATTTCCTTTCTCATTTCTTTCCTCGGAAATCATAAGAAGCGCCAAGAAGGATGGGTATATCCGTTCCGACCTTGACCCTTTTAGTTATTCTGAACTATTTTTTTGCAATGTTTGCGTCTGATCTGTTGATGAAGAAGATCCCTACTTAGAGAAAAAATCATCCAAATATTTATTATTAAATTTAATGTACAGTTTTGAAAATGCCTCCACCGTACCACCATACGTTTTGAATACAACAATAACAACCTGCCGTGAAATGCGGCCTTATCCGTAAATTAAATATTTGAATGGAAATTTGGGTTTCTACGACGCGTAAAGTTACGTTCCATTATGGTCCTAAATTTCTTCGATTTTGTATATTGGTGTGTCAACAACGTCATTTGGACGTTATTTCTGGTTAAACGGCAAAAATAATGACGGGACACCTTGTATATGAGAATTACTTCAATTTTTTGAGTGCAATCCGGTGGGTTATTTACGAGAAACCACAGATTTGGTTTGTTTTATTGGAATTTTCATTTCAGTGTTTGTTTTTCCTCTGAGAAATTTGTTAGATTGTGGAATCTTAGTGTTAGTTTTATCGCTGTTGTAAATTTTTCAATTTATATAAGATGATACATCTGGTCAAATTTGCGTTAATTAAAAAAAAGGGTACATCTGGGTGTTTGCGATATGGAGTTTTATCTGGCAAAATCTAATTAACGCACGTGTTCTTTTGCGGATAACGGGAAAATTCAGGTGTTTCGAAGTTTGGCGTGTTCTGCTGTGATTGGTGATTTACTTGAAAATTCATAAAGAAGCAGTTAATTTTATGGTAGAAGTGGCGTTCTCCAAAATACTGGAGTAAAAACGAAGCTGCTGCTGTTTCTGCCGTTGAGTTTTGCGACGGTTAAAGAGCGCGGGCAGTCAGTCGTATTTGTTTACTTGAAAACGCAATTAATCACTCTTTAAAATAAATTTGTGCAGAAGCAAGTTAACTAAAGTGGTTTAAAAACTTTAACACGTGCTGTCCGATTACGAAACAAATTTTGTCGAGTTTAAAAATCAAGCAGTTTTAGTGCGCAACGAGGCTTTTTTAAGGTTTTCTTCTTTTTAAAAGTTAAAAGTTTCTACCGCCCGAACAGCTACAAAAAATTTGACATCTTATTCAACAAGTCAGATTTTATCAACACGTTCAGTGTTATCAAAAACAAGTGAAGTTTTTTGAAGCTGTCCGCGAGCCTTTTTGTCAGTTTAAGTGAGCCTGAATATCGCAATCCTTGTACGACCAGATTATTTGTATTATGAAGAAAAAAAGTAATTTAAGATTTGTTATTTTATTTGTCGACCGTCTGCGTAGGGTCAATTATGTCCAAACAAACTTTGTAAGCCTTTTTTTCTTTCAGGAATTTTCTTTTATTTCTTTTATGTGTCAAAAAAAAAATGAGAGAAATGGCACCTGCAAGAATTCGAACGCATCAAAAAATGTATAAAAATTAGTTTCTGCACGGGGGAAGTCACTAGAAATTAGGTACACAAATTTATAAAAAGAAACGGCGTACAAAAATATACAAAACTAAAAAATTCAAAATCGAAAAATTAAAAATAATTAAAAATGCAAACATGAAAAAGCAGGGAAACCAGCAAGATTAGAAAACTCGGTAAGCGTACGAAGAGAATTAAAAAATGAACAAACCAATTACGAAAGTTGCAAAAATTGTGTAAAATTAAAAACAGACACTCGCACTTTAAAAACATTTACAATTACTAAAAATTATAAAAGATGTGTACACAAAAATTACAAAAACAGTAGACAAGAAAAAATTCCACCAATTTGGAACAAGTCACTGCAATAAATTGGGTAGATTAAAGTTAAAATTTAGAAAAAAAGTAAAACAAATCCAAAAAAATGGAAAAATAAAAGAAAACCACTATAAAATTGGTTTAACCAAACATCCAAATAAAAACTTCTAAAATGTATAATGAGTTACTTGTAGTAAATTAATTGTAAATTAGTATGTATCTAGTTATATAAAATTTAGAAACCAAAAAATGTAGAAAAATAAAAAAAATTCAAATGAAATTGTGGCCAAGGAACTAAGTTACGAAATACGAAATAACAAAAAAACACATTTCAAAAATTCAGAAATATTAAAGACACTAACATTTGAAGATAAAATAAAATTCCTAATAATTAAAAAAAAAACAAAAAATGTACACAATTTAAATAAAATGTAAAATTTAAAACATTCAAAACTGCCAGCAATTGTGACCAAACACCCAAAGTCGTTCCCTTGATAAAGAATTTATTTAGGAAATTATAAATCAGAAAATTTCAAAAACTTTTAAAAAACCCAAGTAAACTAATTTTAGCTCTTATAGTTCCAACGTAGACGCGATGCAGCAGGTGAAGAATTTAAAGTGTATCAACAATTTGAAGAACCGGTAGAAATGTAGAATCCCAAGAATTTTACGAATCTGATGGAACTGAAACGATCTGAAGCATCGGTCGAGTTTAAGAATCGGAAGATTCTTAAGAATCCAATGAATTTGAATAATTTCAAGATGAAAGGAAAATTCTGAAGGATCTTAAAGGATCTGGTGGGTTTGAAGTAAAGCATTCAAAGAGCCTAACGAGTACAATTGACAGAACTTGAAGAAATGAAAGAAATAAAGCAATACAGAGTTCGAAGAGACGGAAGAATCCGCAGAATCATAAGAATCAAGTTGGAAAATATGAAAAATCAAACGAATGTATAGATAAATATTGGAGTAATCAAAAAATTCGAAGAAAATTAGGAATATGAGCAGCCTCTGATTTGAAGAAACCGAAAAATTTAAGAAAATCATATGGGTAACAAAACCATCGAAAGGTCTTGGAAATCTGAAGAACCAGAGAAAAAGACCTTTAGAAATATTAACAATCTCAAAGATGTAAGCAGAATTCCGAGAATCCTAAACATCTTAAAGTTCTGATATGGGAAGAACTATAAAAAAACAACAAAAGAATCCAGTGGAAACTGGAAAAACTGAAAAACCAAAAAAAATCTAAAACTGAAAGCATGAAAGATTTGAAAGAATCTTAATACCAAAGGAAAACTAGAATAAAAGAACATGAAAATGCTAGAATGTGATAAATCTGAAAAATGCTAAGAACAGAGAGAATATAAAAGGTCTACAAAACCGAAAAAATTGAAAGAATAAGAAAAACCTAAGCCCGAAGGTTTCGTTTGGTTTGGTCCGCTTGACCATATATTTAAGAAAAATGGTTGTCATATGACCGGTTGAAGATGGAAGTACGAAGGCCCTTATAGAAAAACGACAGAGCTCATGAGGAACAAAAACTGATCTGTTGCAGAGTTCAGAAGGCTAGCTATTACCGGCTTTCGAGAGTTACCACATCGATCATACAGCCCAGATGTAACACCATATCTGGACATAGTGAAGCATATATTATGCCGTTGAGGTACTACCTAACAGACACCAAGAACCATAACAAAAGCACCAAATGCGTCAGTAAAGCTTTCATCATCTGCTTAACAATTGAATTTTAGTTCTTTAGTCTTTTAATAGGTACCCCGATACTTGACGCGGTGTAGGTAAAATGTTCGATTTTTGAAACACCTGCAGCCAGCCACGGTAATTACACGAAAACGCCGCGCCGTGGCGGCAGCACCACCCTAGTGCATGTTCGATTACACTCACTCTGCTGATTTACGATGCCTGCGCTTTCGTTTACAAACAGTCCATTTGAGCTTGTTTATAATTCAAATCTGCCGCCCAAATTTTACATTGCACGTTAAAACCATGTTATCCACCGAAAGCTTGACGCTTTTAAAAGCTTTCTGCGCGATATCCCCTCCTTTATGCACCAAGATATCCGCTGCAATTCCCTCCACTTCAACGTCTACGAAAAGTTATTACTGTAAGGGAAAAAAACCTATTAGTTCCGTTGTTGGGTAAAGCAAGCGGTAAGAAAAACCTCATTTTTCCGATTGTGGGTTTTAGGGATACGTCGCGTCGTCGTCTGGTAAAATCTTTGAATATGAATTTAGGATTTATGTGGGTAATTGAATAGTAACGGAAGAGCGTAGAAACTGCGTTGTATAA